TCACTAAATGAAGTGTTATAGAAAGAATTGCTGAATGTTAGATTTGTCATTGGTGAAGAATATACAGAAAAATAAGCTCAACATAACTATCAGGACAGATCAAGAAAGTTGCTTGCAGAGACCACTAAACCTTAAGGCAGTGACAAATATGAGGGACACCCATTATCTGTTATTTTGGGGAGGCCAGTCAACAGAGAAGTTAATGCAAATGATTTCATCTCCAAGACCTTCCCTCATTGTGGCCCTTAAACTTTAAGATTAGGTTGAAAATATGTAGAAAAGTGCTGAGTATTAAGAGAAATGCAACAAGTTTACTACAAGGAAAATGCATTGGCTATTATTGAGATACCTAGAAACTTTATGTAGACAACAGAAGGTAAGGTATATGAACTGTCAAGGTGTGATTAAACCTCCAGAAAGTAATTAGTCAGTGGTAATAAAGGTAAATTTTCTTTGTAATATGATGGTGTATTTAAAAGAGAGTACTGTTCTGCATTGTATACACAAATGACAGCAGGAGAGCCCTCCACCAACAAACAGCGAAAGTTACCATATCCTGCAAAAAAAAGTTGAAGCCTTGGTAAAATCATTAAAAAAGGCAAGTTGGCTGGAGTGGACAATATTCCTTTGGGGCTAGTCCAGGCAGGAGGAGAGAATAGGATAGAGATGTTACTCGTCATTTGTAACAACATTTGGCAGATAGGAGAATAGACAGCACCTTGGATTCAGTCCTTGATCATCACACTTCCGAAGAAAGGCAACCTAAAACTATGCCAAAACTATCATACCACTAGCCTGATTAGTCATCCAAGTAAAGTCATGCTAAAAAATTTCCTGGATCGACTGAAGCCACAAGCTGAGATCATTAAAGAGGAACACACAGGTTTCAGAGCAGGGAGGAACACCATGGAACAAATCTTCTACCTTAGAATACTCTGTGAGAAGTACCTACAACATCAACAAAGCCTTTACTGTCTTTATGAACTTCAAGAAGGCATTCAACAGTCTGGCATGCAGCCTTATGGGCAACCATGAATAAATGTAGCATCAACACGAACCTGATCAGAACTGTAAAATACCTCTACGACAAGTCAACCAGCACAGTCTACCATAACAACAACAATTGTTCCGAACCATAATTGGAGTATGTCAAGGTTGTCTGCTCTGCCCTACCATATTTAACATCTTAAAATAATTGCAGATGCACTTGAAGACTATGAAGGAACAGTCAGCATTGGAGGTAGGAAGATTACGAACTTATGTTTTGCCAACGATATTGACAGCCTAGCTGGACAAGAACAAGATGATGCCTCCACAACATGTGGCATGCAGATCAGTGCTGAGAAGACACAGTTTATGACAAATAGCACTAATGGCATCAACACCAATATCACCATAGAGAACAAAAAACTGGAGACTATCTATAGCTGCAGTGTTGGATGAGGGATCCAAGCCCAAAGTTCTCTCCAGGATAGCCCAAACCATAGCTGCAGTGACCAAACTAAGAATCTTTAGAGAGATCACATAACCAACGAGGTAATGAAGTCCAGAATTAGAAACACCGTCAGGCTGTATGAATATCTCATTACTTCAGTAAAAAGAAGCAAACTGAGGTGTTATGGTCACGTCGTACGATCATCTGGACTGGCCAAGAGTATCCTGCAAGGCATAGTGCAAGGAAGAAGACATAGAGGTAGACAGAAAAAATGATGAGAAGATATCTTCAAAGAATGGACTGGTCTGGATACAAAACATCTTACTGCTTGAAGCCCCAAGAGATTGCACGTTTTGCAGAAGACTGGTCCCCAGCTGACAACTCAATCAATTTTCTCATCATTCACCAAGGGCAGATAGATAGATAGATCTTTTTGTTGTTGTTGTTAGAAGAGTTCTATTTTATGCAATAGATAACTTTAACTTAAAGCAGGGCATGACATTTTCAGGAAAAATATAGATGAGATACCCCTCTATTTACCTCACTTTCTTCTATATTTAACCCAATGACGCCGGGTGTACAAAACAAAAAAAACAAACAAAAAAAAACTCTACGCTCAAGCAAACAAAGGCAACTTTGAGCGTGTGAGTAGGGGACATCAGCCCGAATCACTGGCTCGCTGCGCTTTGGCACACCGCCACCGCATACAGCCGCACGCCAGCTTTCGGGCGGTTTGTTTACACCAAGGGGTTAAGATGAGGTGGAGGGTATAGATAGCCAAAGGGAATGGCATGGTTTTCAACACCAGAATACATATTTCAAGTTCAACTATCAAATGCTTACTTAACATTTAACAAACAATGTTGAAATTAGGCTAAGCACTGGACAGCCAGTGGACAAGAAGGCATGATTTTTTCTACTAGAAAATGTGTCCTTTGTTGAGGTAATATCTGTGGTCAATCAGACAGTGGAAAGACAGAATTCAAGATAGATGAAAGAGTGGGGTGGGAAGGTGGGAAAGGATGGGCAGCCAAGGGACATGATAGGAAGGTGTAGTGATAGATGGGAAGCATTATTTCTTATAGGCATTTTAAACTGATATTGGATTTGTGCCTTCATATCTTGTAACATCACAATTGCTTTGAGGAGTCCCATTGTGTTGGCTGGGTGCTGCAGGTGATGAGTTCTAAAGGGGAGCATGTTGGTGAGATCAATGGTTGACCTGGCTTGCTGGTTACTCGGTTTAGTGTTTACTAATGAGGACTTGGCAGTTGAGTGGCAAAGTGTCTATTGTCATCCACTCAGATGTAGCTGATGGACTTGATGTGGCCTAATTGGCTAATATGTAATGTGTGTAGATTGGGCCTACAGTTGTTACTCTTTCACCAAGATTAGGGAACGATTTAGGCTAATGGAGTACCAGAAGCAAACTAAAAAGAGAGGATAAGATGGTCAGAGCATAAGGCTGGGAAAAATGGTTGCTTTGGTAGATTTTATATGTGCTAAATCATAATATGATGTTCTAGATCTGGATGTATTTGGATACAAAGGGATCTGAAGTAATAACTGTAGTGTACACTGATGAACAGTGTGCATTGTACACTGTATATCAGTGAACACTATGTTATACATCTAGTAGGAGAGCTGCCTACAATACAAGCAGTCCTCCCTCTTTCATGTTATAAAATTACAAATAGGTTGCACTATCATTGTTATCATTACTATAAATCTTGTACCCACTTGTGAACTTCATGAAAAAAGAGAGAGAAAAAAAAAATATGGGGATACTTGTTAGAATACCCAAGGATGCAAATGTATATGTATGCTCTGTATGGAGGCAAAAACAATATTATTGTCCATCCAATATGATTTCTTTATGTATCACTTGTATCCTATAGAGGATTTTAATGTTTTTGCACATTCAGATATTCATAATACTCATTTTAGTTGCTAGATCAAAGCTGTAGTAGACTGATTATGTAAATTATGAATATGGATTTATTGTCAAGTGAAAACAGGATTTTCTTTTATATTTGCAAATCTTATTCCTATGAAATGAAAGATTGTATGAAGTTATATATAGTGCTGCTACTTCCTAGGGTTCTGTACTTCCCTTTTGTATGTCATACTTCAAGACAATCACACTGATATATGACAATGCGAATTGCTAATACAAGGAGACTAATCTTGTAAACTAGAATGAAGGTGACAGGTTGACAGCAGCTGCAATAGAGCTCAATATTTTGGTGCATGACATCTTCCAGGGGTAGCATTCAAATGATTTATGTGCTAAATATCTCCCCATATGTGTGCTGGTGTGTGTGTGTGTGTGTGTGTGTGTGTGTGTGTGTGTGCGCGCATATGTGTATGTGTGTTGGTGTGTGTGCTCGTGCGTGTGTGCATGCAAAACAGAGCATCCCATTCCATCTTGGGCAGTGCCCCAGGGCATGTGCATGAGGGGACCTTTCTAAAAAAAAATATGAAATGTAATGTATTCATCATCAAATCAGTCCTGATGGAAACTACACATCATCCGAAGCCATAACTAAGTCAGCTGTGACATGAAATGCATATCATCCAGAGGCATTAGATTAATTAGGGGTTAAAAAAGAATTAACCCATTCGCCACATGTGGCAAGAATAGATGCCATACCCACTTTGATACACGTTTATTTATTGTATTTACACATAGATGGCTCCACAAGTTTTTAATCACCAAATAGCCAGTTATCAAGAACTACCTATTTCACTTCACTTTAGGAAAGGGTTTTTTGTATAATTTCATAGTCAAAAATATTCTAATGACAATTCAATAAGCATAACATCAATAACAATAATAATAGTATTGAAAGCAATGGTATTAGTTTTCCCGCCAGTTCAATGAATGGGAAAATCAGGGTCGGTAACTAGGGCCTACTGATAGACTCCTTGCCGGCTGAGCACATGTGGAGCCATCTGTATGTAACAAAATTCACCAAAAACTACAGGGGACCGAACATAAATCCGTGGCGAATGGGTTAAGATGATAGTTTATTTGTTGTAGTAATTGAGTTTTTATGAATGATTGGGGATTAAGAATGTATCCCCAAGTCAATTTGCAGCCAAGCAGCCTTTTCCTGAATTTAAAGATTAGCAGTGTTTGTCCTTTTGCTCAAAGATGCATCCGCTTAGTATTCCTTAACTGTCCAACTTAGGTGACCATTCTTTATAATGTCATAGGATTCACATATCAAATAGGTTTTAGAATTGAATTAATCTAGTTTGCATACACTATTTTATTGCAATGTTAGTTTTGAAAAAGTGTGCTTTATGCAATACGTAACTGCTGATTGTGTACTTGCTATCTGATGCTGCTGTTTACTAGAAATGGATTGACTTCTGTTTATGGCTTGTTATTATTATTATTATTTACATTTGGCTGAAAATCCCATTACAGGATTTCATCATCTTTTACTTTTTCCTGGCAAATGATACACATAATTGGTTAAAAGTTCATAGTTAATATATGTGGGAATTGAAATGTTAGAAATAAAATTAAAGGCCTGTTTTTCATTTTTGATTTCAGACTGGAACTGTACATGATTTGGTGATATCAGCCAATCCTAGCAGGCCCCCATACTTTTTAGCTTTATTAAGAAAGCTTTTAAAGGATGCCGGCTATCCTGTTTATTCAGTCGACCATCTTCACTCCTCTGTGCATCATGTAAGTTTTATTTTTTTTCCCCCATCTGTCTTTTTGTTATTGTGTTTGATATTATTATTTTTGTTATCATACCCCCCAATCCCCATTAAACTCATGTTGATATTAATAGATTTAAATTGTAATTATTTAAATTTTGAAGAGTATAAAACTCATAGGAAAAAGTTTCTCTAGATATGGGATACCTTGTACAATTAATTATATCTATATTCTACTTTTACTTTTCAACAGGTTGATGACTCTGTACGAGGATACTTCTCTGATAAGCCTCTTGGAGACCGAAATAAGCATAACTTGGCTTTTACCGTTCACTGGAAAGAGGTTGAGGCACCAAACTTGATGGTAAGTAGACAAATAATGATATTGATTTTTTTATTTGATACTATTGAAAACATAATACTGGTAATAAAACTTCATTCCTCATTGTGATTGTTATGGCTCTTTATTAGAAAATTATGCAAAAGTACATCTAATAGATGTAATATTTGATTAGAGGATATTTTTTAGTGTATAAGACTTCTTCCATTTAAAAAAGGTCTCAAAATTTTAAATTCTATCACCAGGTGAATCCCTTGCGGCAAACTGTAATATCTGGAGAAGCCAACATTACACGCTACATATCTCGACTCTTCCCCCTAAGTTCTCCCTACAATTATGAAGCAACAGGAACCTTTTCTTCTATTGCGGAGACAGACAACCTTCTAGATCAGTTAGCATCTCAGGCAGCCAGCAAAAATAACAAAGAACGACAAGGTGCACTCAGACAATTAAATGGAAGGTATGTAGTTTTTTTTTTCTGTCATGCACTTTCTTTTACATGATTTTGGTCAAGATTTTCCAAACACATTTGATAACCCTGACATTTGTTAGCCACGTTTTCCATTTTATTGAAGCTTAAAAGATCCATTCTACAGAGTCCTAATCCATGTTTGATCCTCAGGCTTGGAAAGACTTCTTGGTTAGTCAACAATGAATGTGGTATTGCTGATGTATTCTTGTGGTCTGTGCTGAAGCAAGGAGGCCTGAATGTTGGAGCTCCTGCAAACGTTGATAAGTGGTACAAAAAGGTCGATGCCATGGCCAAGCTAGGTGAGTGAGGATCTTCTGCTGATTTTTAAAATTTTGTGTGATTTACCGCTACTAAATTTTTATTGATGAATTCCACTTTTACATAGCATTAATACGGGCCATTTCCTAGGGATGGAAACCTTTAACCAATAATCTTCCACTGTAAGTTTTAATGATAATCAAACTCTGTTAACAGTTGTAGAGGTAAATTTGGACTCCATCTCAATGAGTGGGATAAAGTGAACCCCCCCCCCCCCTTTATTGCTTATCCCCTTGTTCCATGTTTTGTTTGTTATCTTTTAGTCAGGTTTTCAAAAGAGGGAAAGGAATTCTTACAGCTTTGTTGAAAAATGAGAGAGCACCAGCATATTTTTGTGTATCAAGTTTAGTATTGAAAAAAAATTTCGCAATGACCCAGGAAACGGACTGAAGATCACCAAGAGAGGAAGAGAAAATTAGTCCCAGATATTGAATATGAAACCAAAACCCAGTTAGAAACTGAAAATAGTAATTGCAAAGTTAAAAAGCATTCTACAAGAAAGACAAATGAAAAGAATTAGAAATACAGTGTGGTTGTGAAATTAAAAGTCCTATTCCATACTGTTCTGGTTATTATCATGTAATTGGAAGAGTGAACTTCATTTCTTCCCACAGCTCTAAAGTTATTGTCATTGTTATTATTCTCTTAATTTTACATTATTATTTATATTTTTATTAACCCATTGCTGCTGGGGATGACAGTTTCATACGTACTATGTCCACTGTGATTTTTATTTATTGTGTATACACGCAAAAGGCTCCACAAGTACTTTGTCACCAGAGTCAGTTGCTAGTCCTATTTATCCTTTTCCTTGATATTTACCCTTTTACTTGATATTTGGAAATTAATTTTTATTTTTTGTTGCTGTTGGTATTATTACCATTATAGTAATCATAATATCCATAATAATAAAAACAGCATTATTAATAACTATTGTATCTTGCTGATGTGACCATAGTGTCATGAAAAAAATTGTCTGAGGTCTGACTCGCAGGAATATGCCACTGTGGGAAAATTTGGCTGAAGGCCGGGTTGACAGTATGTCATGAAAATTTTGGCTGAAGGCCAGGGTAATAGGAATGACTCCTCATGTAGGTTATGTTGGCCTACTAATGGGTTCCATGGTGGATGAGCACTTGTGGAGCAATCTAAAGACAGTTCACAAAACCAAACTACTACATATGCTAGCTGTCAATTTCTGTCTTTCTCTTCTTTCTTTCCTTCCTTTTCCCCTCAAAAAGTAGTCTTTGCTCTTATATATGGAGATCTCATGAATTGAACTCTGGCATTTATTTTCAAATTGAAATTTAAAGAGTAAATGCTGTAAGAATGCCTGAGGTATGCATTTGTCCAAGTTAAATGTGCCTCAGTCTCTGAATGCGACAATGCTTTTTTCAGAAATAAATACGTTGAACTCTCAGAATGATACACAGAGCAAATCATCATCACAGTCTGTTACCCCAGTTCAAACAATGAAGAAGTCAGATAACAAAAACAGCCTGACCTCTTGCAAGACTGAGTTTGTTGATAGAAATGGCCTAGAAAAGTACCTGAAGAGCTTAAACATACCATATCAGGTACAAGACCATGAAGAAGTCTTTACAGTGGATGCCCTCATGAAGAATGTGAGAGCAATGCCTGGCCTACACATGAAAAATCTCTTTCTGAAGGACAAGAAGAAAAACCTGTATTTGCTTTCAGCTCGACACAATGCCGAGGTTTGTCAGTGACTTTGATGGTTATTTTCTTATGAATTTTAATGTATTATCTGAAATGATTGCCATCCCGTGGGTATCAGCTTTTTTCTGTATGTGGACTTTTTGTTTGTCAGATAGTCATGGTACTTAAAATGTACTTTTAATTCCTTGTGTGTTTGTCTTTGAATCACTTTGAGTTTAAATTGTGTTTGGGTTATATTTTGCTTCAAAGAAGAAGAAAAATATTGCTGTTGCCATTCTTGTCTATTTTTTATATAGTGTTTACAGTTTGCTTTAGAAATGTATAGCAAGGTTAATGTCATTTGGTTGATTTTCTTGTTGGAAAGGGTTCATTGACATTTACATTGCACTTAAAGCAATTCTACTTTAGACTAGCTTTCAGTTTGGATTGAACGGGGAAGAAGAAAAATTGACTGATGTTTAAATAGTTTTCTTTTTATACCTACATGCTCTATCCATTGCATTTTGGCTTTTTTTTTTTCCATGAGGAAATAAAAAGTGGACTGTATTGTCCTGTGCGGGATCTACAATTGCACACATGACAGCCCCCAGGATTAAACTAGTTCATGCTGATCATTTTCCTTGTCTCTGAGAAAACTGACAGCAAGTAAACAACAAAAAAAAAGATCAACCTTGTCATACTAAAAGTACACTGTGTCTTCCTGTGCCCCACACTACAAAATAAATTTCTAGAAGAATGAATGTTAGTAGTTGAGAAAGAAAAGGACTTCCAAAAAAAAAGCTTGTGCAGGAAAATAAATGGTGATGATGATGATTTTTTTTTGTATTTTAAACAATAATGAAGATTGTCAGATTAAAAGGTTGAAAAGTAATATTTGAAATAAGTTTGATAAATAGAAAATATATTCTATATGATTATAATTTGGAGTTATCTGTTTATCTGGTGTTTTATGTCTAATACTTATGCCCCAAATATCTGTAGATGACAGACAAGAAGTGAAAATAACGAGTCATAAAGTGTAATGGAGAAAGCAATATCTAAATTTTTAAAATTTTAGAATACACCACTGCTGTCATTAACCTGGTTAATAATTTTCAAACACGTTATTGTATAGACTATTATTTAGTACTAAAATTTTTATTTCTCATTTCAGGTAAAGCTCAGTGAGGTTGGAAAACAGTTAGGCACTAAGGATTTAAGATTTGGAGATGAAACCATATTGTACAGCACCCTTGGAGTAAAACAAGGGTGTGTCACTGCCTTTGCACTCCTCAATGACCGCAGTCACCAGGTCAAGTTCCTGCTGGATTCAGAAGCATTTAACGACTGTCACCCTTTTGTCAACTTCCATCCCATGTCGAATGCTGCAACCTTAGGAGTGGCACCAAAAGACTTGAAGAAATTTTTGAATGCCTCTGGACATGAACCGACATTGATAACATTCAATTAAAATAGCCCGATTTAACATTTTACAGAGCTATGAATTAGGTTGATTGGGAAAACAGCTTTAAGCAGTTATAATAATATATAAGTGAATAGAATTTACATTGTTATGTAAAGATTTTTTTTTAATGTGTATATATATAGATAGATAGATATATGCCATGGTTGTATAGAGAAAATCACATGCAAGAGGTTTGCTATTTTGAGCATGTTATTGATTGTTAGATTTCACATTTTTCCTCATTTTAAATATGAGGGTGAAAAAATTTGTATTTGCTCAAGTGCATCAAGATTCAATGCAATACCATGCTTTATTACAATCCAAATTGAACTAGGGTTTTATTACAATATGAATTTTTCACTTATTCTTAATACAGTGACTTGATATTTGGCTTCCACTGAGTAATAAATTGTTATTTATGTCATATTCTTTTAATACCTGATAATCCCCCAAACATTATGAAAAGGATAATTAAAAAGGAAAAAAGCAAGCATATACGGGTTTGCAATATAATTTATTATGTTGTTGAGCAATAACAACAAAAACAAATATTTAAATAAAATCTGCACTCACTGAAACCTTTCTTTGTCACAACAGAGAGAAAACTTGAATGAAAGACCACAACTACCTTCTCTTCCATATTCAGTAAAACATTATCCATTAACATGGGCTCCATTTACACAAGAAGAATGGCTGTCATATCCTATTTTAGTAAACCATTCATTATAACTTATTACAATTATTTCTCATGTTACGCAAGCTACATGTAACTGACCAGCAGATGGCATTTCAAAACCTCCTCACTGTAAAAACTACAGTAGTTCTACCACCACCACAACTGCTTATCAAACACAAGTTACAAGGTTTACAGTACATGAGTAATCAACAATGTTTTTATGTCATGGCACGCATTCTTTACTGTCATATTAGTTTTTACTTGCAAATGCAAATGGGAAGGCTAAACTCTGAAACTTTAAATTTTGCTGCCATATCTTTACAGAAATAGTCCCCATGCTAATTTACAGTTCCTTATAAATTAATAGCTCTTTATATTCACATAAAAAAAAAATCTTATATACACATGAGTACACTTTCTGATGCTGAATAACATTTGAATATTTACTGAAGATCAGAGCATTTAATAAGCAGCTTAGGTGAAAATGCACTGAGTAATATATTAAACATTCTGTATGTCTTCTGGTTGTATTAAGGTTTAAACATTTTTTTGCAGTACCTACAGAATGGTCATACATGTAACTGTTGCTTTCTACATCTGTTCGTTTATCAATTATGAACACAGCCAGATTATATACGAACAGGAGATTAAACTTTACACAGGTAAGGCTTACTACGTAGCTTTTTGGTGTCTTTTTCCCTTATTTTTTTGTTTTTATTCATTTATTTTTTGCCTGTGCATTTTGAATAATGATACTAAAACAAGAAAAGGCACAAATGAAAAGAGAATTGCTTGAAACAATAACTGCACTAGTATTACTGTGTCAAAATAAAGTGCGATATGTAAATTAACTGTTGCCTAACTAAATTGGCAAAACTTGTGACTAAGTAAATCTGCTGAGCCAGATATTAGCCTACATGATTCTGATAACTCAATAGAGACAAAAAAAAAAAGGAAAATTTTAATTTTTTTTTCCCTTACAGATTTAGAATAACACTGCATATCTAAAGAAGGTATTTCAAGTAGTGCATAAAATCCTGACTGTAAAGTTGCAACACTACTAACCATTATATCTGCCATTATAATGAAGCCTGTTCATTTCCATCTCAGGTACTAGCAAGATGGAAATACAAAAATATAATAGCCTTTACCTGCAACAATAGGAGAAAAAAAAACTATACAATATATAATACTCCTATTTCGAAAGAAAATATTATGCAAATCCCAAATTCACAACACCTGATTAAAAGCTATTAACTAGGCTTAATCATGCCCTCTGTACTAATTTTCTTATACCTGCATGCAAAGCTGGGCTTATAAATAACCTTGAAATAAGTTTTTGCAACTGAACTCTCCATAATCATCCAAAGTCCTTTCAGTAGTATAAAAATAATAATAATGATAGTACCTTTTCACAATAATAAAAAAATAAACACAGTGCCTATTTATCCTAGTTACCCATAAATGCTGATCTTACTGGACGCCATTCGAAAACTTTTACTTCATTCATCATTAACAACGGTGCCTGTCTATAACTGCTAATGTGTCTTAGTTTAGAATCTGAAAAATAAAAATAATATAGTTAACAAATTATTTATACAACCTTATTATTTCAATTAATGACTAAGCAGAAAACACAACTTATTTACAGGGAAAATTACTTATAATCTTCACAAAATCTAACTACATGATAATTAAAATCCAAATACTACTACTCACTTTATGATGATAAAAAAGAGGCACCCCCCAAATTCTAATAAAACCTTTGTGTTCTTAGAAGTTTCTATGCTCACAAGAACTGAAAAGTTGTATATATACTATAACTCCAATTTACTTAATGAAATGCATATATGCAGAGGGGGATTTGCTTCATAAAAATTTTCTGCTGTACTACCATTTAAGGTCACTAGTGCTGTATGCAGCATGGAGATAAAATTTCGATAACATTCTCATTCTGAAATTGCTATTTCTATTTCAGTAAGCACAAGGACAATCACACTACTGAGACTTTATTCACAGACCAAAGACGATGTAACATTGGACATTTTCTCTCTTAATCCTAGATCCTAGATACAAATTTTCCTGAGGTTCAGAATAAGCCTATTTCAAATCTTTTGTCTAATCATTTCATCTAATATATACTAGATTTTAATTCTTCCTTTGTCCTCCCTCAGTTCATTAATTCCTCAAACTCCTCTCTAGAGACCATATATCCCCAATTATCTAATCCTTTATCTCTCCTTCTGCCTCCCCCCCCTTCTACACACTCAAGACCTCTTTCTCTCCCCTACTTTCTTACCTACTCTCTCTCTTTCTAACCAACAAAACCTTTCAATATGGACTTGTTGATCCTACAATGCTGGTACCAGAAATCTCACAGCATTCACTGATTCAGGTGACTTCTGGCAACTATCTAGTCATTGGGCTTGGGAGTCCCCTACGTCTAGCAGAACTTCCCATTTGATCCTATAGCCGTTTTTCATGAAAAAAAAAAGACAAAGAAAAAGAAAAGGAAAAAGAAAAAGAAAACTAACCTGAGTAACAAGTCCTGCAGCAATCGTAGCTCCTCTAACCCTCAGCATGAACCGACCCAGTTCTTTATAGTCACGGAAGAGCTCTAAACAGAGAGGCCGAGTGAACTGGATCTCTATCAAGCCAGCAGAATTATTGACTAGAGCACGAGGCCGTTTCTTGACAATTTGTCCCGTTGTCTTGTGAACTTGGGAGACCAACTTGCGTATTTTGGCTGGTTCTGTGAGTGACTGGTAATGGAAGTCAACCTGTAGGGTAAAAAAAATATTATAATTCATACACATCCAGATAATTAAAACATAAACATGTTATATTTCCTTATAAACTTATAAGCTATTATCTTGGATGTTTATCTCATTATTATTAATACTACTATAGCTGTTATCTTAGAAATATTGAATAATTCATATTTCCCTGGTGCCAACAAAATGATCAAATGCCACCCTGAAAAGGGGAAAGTTTCAACCAAGAGTTCCCTGCCTGAGTTAAGAATACTGTAAAAATAACTGAATGTACCGTTTTAGGTTATAATGGTGTATTACCTGAGTTCCTTCAATTAGTGGGACCTTAATATTAAAGAGAACTATCCGTGCTTGCACCCTTGTGGCAAGTGGAATAGGTTCTGAAGGATCACACAGGAAGTCGCCAACGTGTAGCACATTTGGATCTACACCAGAGATTGTAAGTGTCACGGGGTCACCCGCGAATGCAGTTGAGGGTTCGGCATTATCCACCTGGACGCCTGTTTGAAAAATAGAATATCAACATCTATATATATAGGTTTTTCTCTATCAGTTGCTCTAGTGAAAGTGTGATTCTCATAAGAAAAGCTTTTATACCTGTATTTTTTATTACTTTTGGCATAAGACAGATTTTCAAAATTAAACTCTTTCAAGACAGAATGTATTGAAACTCAGGTGATGGCAAATAAACATTTGTACTTTTTTTTTTTTTTTTTTTTTTTTTTTTTTTTTTTACTTGTAATCATTATTTTCCATCTGAAAATGTTACATTTCACAACTAATAATAATAAATAAAAAAAATAATAAATAAAATAATCTGACCAAACTTTAACCACTTACCTAGCTTCACTCTACTTCCACCTCAACTTCATTATCTATTTCCATAAATTGTAAAATTTACATCTCGCCTCCAATAATGAAAGTATGGTTGTGTGTTTAGCAGATTTTCAACTGTTTTGCCTCAACAAATATCTGTTGTAACTCATACCTGTATGCATGTATAAATATTCATCCAGTGATAAAAAATAATAATAATAATTTTCATTCCTTCAAGACTTCTGATGGTAAGAAATTTTGTATTTTGCAAACAGATGAATAATTACCTTTCACAGTAACTACTTCTCCTGGAGGAAGAAGTAACAAACGGTCGCCATTCTGCACATATCCAGTGTCAAGCTTCCCTCCAACACACATGTTTGACCCTTGCCCTTTATACAAATCGCTTATGCACATCCGTACGGGGCGGGTTACTGCACGCTCTGGGACTTTCATCTTGTCTGGATGTTGGAAAATTTGTATTCACATCTACTTTCAGTCATTATCATATATACATTATGAAGTGGATGTTAAGAAATATGTATTCACATCTACTTTCAGTCATTATCATATATACATTATGAAGTGGATGTCAGGAAATATGTATTCACAACTACTTTAAATCATTAGCACATATACATCATGAAACTATCAAGAGTATTAATTAGCACTGCTCAAATATCAAACAATAAAAAGCAAATAAATATTCCCAAGAATTTCACTCATATATCAGTACTTTCACCATCAAGGATTTACCAATAGCTTGCAGAAGAGTAGGACCAGTGTACCAGGAGTTTAAAGCTTCAATTGTGCTTGGCTTCACCAAGTTCTCACCAGACAAACCCGAACAAGGTACATAAATCACATCCGCATCCTTAAAGCCAACAGTTTTAAGGAAATGCCGGAGGCTAGTCTTAATTTCCACGAAACGTTCTTGACTCCAGTTGACAGTATCAAGCTTGTTAACTGCTACCGCTAACTGTGTCATGCCTAAAATATTGAAAGAAAAAATAGAAAAACAGATAAATACATAATACAGAATTTATAACAATACTACTGTAATTTAATTATATATATCATAATACATATACTGTGTATATATATATATATATGTTATATATACCTTCATATTATATATATATATATATATACCCTCTCTCCCTCCCCCCCCCCCCCCCCCCCCCCACACACATGCACCTAAGTAAAGTGATACAGTCTGCTAACATCAGGTTTGACTGAAAGCCCAGATATGGCCCATCTGAAGTTAGTAAATGAAGAAGTAATTGTACTGCTTATTCTTTATATGATATATTTTGAAATAAATTGGTGGAAATTTTTAAAAAATATAATGATGTTGTTCCCTATAACAAGGGCTTTGTCCCATAAAAATGCTTGGTCTTATAAAGGAATTATGTTAGGAATGTTTAAGTTCATCCATATCTCCTATGGTGCCCTAAGTAGGGACACTGAAAGAGGCCCTTTTATGCTAAAGGGTTAAAACATTCAACTAAGACAGCATGACTAAAAATAAATATCAATTCAATCTCTACAAAAAGACAAAACTCCTCCCTCACCTAAGGATCGAATCAGCAAAGCATGCTCCCGAGTCTGACCTCCACTCTCAAAGCCAGCCTCAAAAGCATCTGTGGTAGCATCAACAACTAAAATTGCAACGTCAGCCCTTGCAGCTCCAGTGATCATGTTGGGAATGAAGTCCTTGTGACCCGGGGCATCCAGCAAAGTGATTTTCTTTTTATCTGACTCAAACACCCTTTGTGCTATGTCGACTGTGACACCACGAGACCTGAAATTTTCGATGTGAATAATGCTTGTCTTGGAAATTATAATTTGCATCAACTGCAACACACTACTGAACATGAATTTAATGGACGAACCTGGGGAATTAATGTGTTTAATGTTTTTAATCTTTCAAAAGAAGTGATAATTTTGGCTTACATAGTATGATAGGTAAGTTCCATAATATACGTAAACTGAATGCCTTATTCATTAAAAAATGGAAGAGGAGGAGGAGGAGTAAAGAATAGGAAGAGGAATAGGAGGAGCAGGAAGAGAAGAGAATTAAATGAAAAGAATATCAGGAGGAGGAGTACAACAAAGGAAGTAAAGGAGGAAGAGGGCTAAAGGAAAGGAAGATGAAGAAAAGGAGAAGGGGGAATAGTAGTAAAGGAACAGAGGAGTAACAGAAAAGAAGACTAGGAGGATGAGGAGGAGGAGGAGGAAATGGAAGAAGAGCAGGAGGTAAAGGATGAAAATGGGGAAGTACAAGAGGAAGAGGAAGAGGAGGAATGCGGAGGGGAAGGGGGAAATGAAGAGGGATGTGAAGCAACAGATGAGGATGACGACGATATTGATGATAATTATGATGATGATTGATGATAACAAAAAATGTAACAGTAAAGCTGAATAAAAATGACAAGAACAGGAATATGAAGTGTGGAAGAAAGTGAAAGCCACCTACCTTTCTTCCTCTGTGTCATCCAAAACCCAAGCATACATGAAAGACTGTTTTCCTATTTTCTTGCTCTCTTGCTCATATTTGTGCATCATCCTCTGACCAACATTACCCTGTGAAAAGACATATCAGAAGAAATTTAGCACACTTTTTCAGCAAATCAAATAAACCGTGAAGCAAGAGGGTAAAAACAAACAAACAAAAAAAAAATGAACGAATGAATGAATTAATGAATAAATAAAAGAGAGAGAGGGGGGGAGTGAGAGAAAACAGAGAAACTGGGGGACAAACACTTTACCTGAAGATACAAGAGATGTCCCATTAGCGTTGATTTTCCAGCATCCACATGTCCTACAACCACCAGATTGAGTAAGTCCTTTTCTCCTCCTCTCTGCTGCTTGTAACACATCTCCACATCAACTGCCTTGTCTCGGATTCTACAAAAAGAGCGATAATTCTAAATCACATGAAAAATCAGAAAATTACATAATGATAAAAGCTTTATCTGTACAAAATGGGTGGTCTGCAACTGGACCTTCTGGCTTACCCTCACCTCCCCAGATTAAATGGGGAGAGTAAGGGGCCTGTTAGCCTGGTAGTGTGAAATCTACAAGGTAAACCTTACATGGAATCAATAGATGAACAAATTCAGTAACACTTTTCAACCCTAATATTTTTATGGAAAAGTACAAATCAATAAGTTAATCAACATCTTATGTAGCATATATCCAAGCAAACTGATAGGGTCTGTTGTCACTTTATAATTTAATTGCACTGTATTGACACTATACACTAAAACCTTTTTTTTTTATCCACAGTATAACCCACTGGCTGCAGCTTTTTGTACTGTCCACTGCATTTTTTGTACGTTGTTTTACACAGATGGTTCCATAAGTGTTTTCCAAGGAGTGAATTTGTAGCAACTATGCTTGATTTCCTCATTCCTTGAATTTGTGATTTTTATTTTTTTCTAAATCTATTCCTATCAATAATATTATTACTACTAATGGCATTATGATCAACATATATATTAACCCTACAATGATGGGCATCTCACCAATGAGACACTTAACCCAATGTGCACAGGCTTTTTCAGCGGCTGAGTGGTCCGCATGGTATCATAGTAGAAGCTACCCACAAACAAAGGGTTAATTAAGTTCGCGGCATGCCCTCCAATTGGGTCGCCTGCCATGCGTGCCTCATGCACAGGTTCCCAGCAACAGCCACTTGCTACTATAGTACTACCCAGAAATTAGAGTATTTTTCACTCAGACCTATCCATTGTGGATGGGTTGAAATATTAATAGAAAAAATCAGGGAAAAGGGTAAACAGATGAGATAAGTAGGACTCCTTGATGACTAAACATTTATGGAGAATTCTATGTAAAATTACAGTGAATATGGCATGTAATCATGCTATCTGAAGCCATTGGGTTAATATAATAACAATGACAAATTCATCATAATGAACATGAAACACTGAAATATAAGGCAGAAACTCAAAGCCCCATACATGTCCTGACTGGATATTGCCACCCTCAGGCTTGACCAATGAGCTTCCAGTTGGTTTCCTATGAGAGAAGGGGACAGACACATTTGTCAGATCTGACAGAGGGTACAAAATCTGTCCCACAGAAAGCTAGTGAGAACTTGTATGATGAACTTGTCATAGTGGGCAATATAGGGTTAAATTATTTCATTCCCTTCACTTATCAGACTTACTTTGCTGGGGTCCTTGCAACAGTTGGAGTTTCCTTCTCTTTGAATTTATCCTTCTCTTTATCTTTGTCTTTATCCCGCCAACCGCGTACTGGCGTGTTTGAACGTGACCTCTTGGACTCTTGCTCGTTGATGCTCAGGTTGTTTTCTGCTGCTGCTCCTTCTGTTGAAACATTTTGGTTAAACGAAACAAATAGGAGCTAAATAAGCCTAATGAATACCAACGGCAATGTCAATAACTTTTTAATTTACTTAGTTCATGGTGTTACTATTCAGAAATCTCACCAACATTCATGCCCCTTATTCACATGATGCTACGTAAATCACTCATTGTAATCTCATATTTCATTTTTCTCCATCTTACTCTCTTTGTCTAATTGTCTAATTTCTCTATTTCACTCTCTTTCTCCTTAAATGTGAAAACATACTAACTTGAGATGCCTTTATAATTATATGTCAGAGTAGCATGAAAAAGGGAAAAAAATCATTTAATTATGGGGAAAAAACAGCAATACAAGGATAAGAGTTACTAAATGACACGACTTCAGTTTGCGCTAAAGAACCAAATTCTACAGATCCAGCTACACCATTCTAAAGACATAATGAAATAGTACACACAGACCCCACAGGTTATTGAAATTACACTGACCCAGAATAATAAGGAACTGTATGTAACCGAGAAAACAAACTAAGATAGAGATCAAATTATCTATCAAAATAGCATTCAGATCTGCATGGAACTATGCCAAGTTTATTCTAACATATTACATAAGTAGCACAATATCCACCTTATAATATAGAGACAGTGCTTCATGATCTATCAAACAATTAAAAATGAACAATAGGCATAAATAAAAATTCACATAACATAAAAAGCAAACACTCTAGCTCCAAAACACCTAATTACACCAAAACATTACAAATAAAATGATTTGACTCACCATCATTGCTGAGCACATCAAACCCTCGCACCACTCTGGGTGTATTCCCATTCTTATTGGGTGTAGCAACTACCACTGGAGTTGCAGCCAAATTGCCAACTGCTTTCGAAGCTGGTGTCCTCTTGCCTTGCAAAGGAGCACTTTTATTTGTGTCTGCATTGCGTGACAGGGAGAGCTGCTCTACATAAGCGGAAGCTGTCTGATCATTACCTGAGTGAAAGTATCAATTGTTTCAACAGAAGAGCTTATTACTGTAAATCTACTGTCTGAGCAAATACTTAAGCTTTTTTTTTTTTAACTGAACTGAATGTTGATTGAAATTACTTGCATTTAAAAAGAGGAATCCTATACAAAAAAGAATATAAATATAAAAAAAAGGTATAATTAAGACCTTACCTTTTACATTATCCCTTTCTGCCCTGTTACCGAAAGGCTGTGCAACTGCAGCTGCAACTGATGCTCCCTTATTTAGGAGTGCATTCAGTGAGGCCTCCAGCTCAAACTTGTTTGCAATGATGGTTTGCGTAAGTTCTCTTTCACTGTACTTATCTCCAAGAATATTGTGAAGTTCGTCCATAATCGATGACAACCGAACCTAAAATAAATGTTTTATGACTTACCACATGTGAAATAAAGAAGAGCATTGGATACAAAAAAATTAAAATCTATAAAATTCCAGTCCTCTTTTTATTCTTTGACAAAAATCAAGATCATAAATTAAAATGAGAAGCAATGTATGTGTGTATGTGCATGAGTATGTGTATGTGTATGTGTATTTGTATGTGTATGTGTGCGTGTGCGTGTACACATATATATAATATATGTATACATATGTATATATACATATATATGGAATATAATTGTGTATATATACACATATATATGCACATATATATACGATTAATGTATATGTATGTATGTATATACACATATATGTATATAACTTAAAAAATATAAATATATATATATATAAATATATATATAAATATATATATAAATATATATATATATATATATATATATATATATATATATATATATATATATATATATATATATATATATATATATATATATATATATATATATACATATGTGTATACACACACACACACATATATGTATATAGATACATATATATATATACATACACATATATATATACATACACATATATGATGCACACACACACAAAGAACCTTTTTCATTTTGGATATATATGAAATTTGTGTGAATTATTTAATTACCAAAAATTACACATCAAAATGTCACAGAAAAAAATATATATATATTTTGAAAGATTTTGAAGCTTAATCTGGAATAGGCTTGTTCCAAAGTTGTCACAAGGGGTTTATATATATCTTGTATACTGAAAACCTTTTAATTTCACTTAGTTATTGTAAATGCATTTGTTTTTGTGAAGAAATATACCAGTGCAAATTAAACTCTTTCCATAAACCTTAGTACATGCAATCACACATATGTACTTTTTCAACAGTGTTCATTGCCATTGTAATAAGCCTATAAAGTCACATAGGAGTGTCAGTTAATAAGAGTACCACAACTTACCTCATCTTCTGTCGACAAGGGAGGCTTTTCGTAAGTGGAGGAATCGTGTCTGCTCCTATCCAGTGATCCAGGCTGATAAAAAAAAAGAATATGGTAATTTAAGGAATCTCTGAACTAAACTCTGAAATTTTATCAACCCTGTTCACTATCTAAACTTCATTATAATCAGTGAGAATGAGATAAACTTTTTTTTTTCCATTCACTGATATTTCTCTTGCTCTCATAAAACAAAATCAATCTGAAAGGAATATCCTGCTGAAAGATAATTTCTGGAACTCAACCCAGAAGATGCATGTGTATATACACTAATGCCCTTTTATCATCCACAAGTGCTTAGTCACCATCTGGTCACTTATAAGGCATGACTCACATATTTCTCAGTTACTGAAGTGCATAAGCACTTTTAGCTTACTCATCATTTTCTAATGTCTACATTTATTATTTGATTTGCTTTATAACTTTTTGTTATTTGTGTAATTTTTTTCCCTGCAATATTCAATTTTCTCTAATATAACCTACACTGCTGGTCATGGCAGCCACATACAGGATCTTGAGAAAGAAAATAGCAGTCTCCCTAGAGCTGGTACACTTCCAGTCATGGCTCACAGAAGTATATTCCACACTCATTTATCAATGGAAATTGCAAAAACCCCTTCCTAAACACCAAACACCTAACAACCCTTCAAGAACTTTGTGCACTAGTGGCGAGTCATTTCCATCTCACCAGCCTTCAGCCGAAATACTCATGATTGCAAGTTCACCTCACCCTGGCACACAGCTAAATTTTCCCATGACGGCATATTCATGTTACCCACTGATCAAGCCAAATTCTTTCATGATGTGATGGTTATGTTATCTGGATTATAGTGGATTACCTAATGTCATTTGGATGGCAAGAAAAGATGCCACTGTGTTATTTAGTTTTTTGATGGTTTCTAAACATAGATGACTCCACAAGTGCTTAACCTCATTAGTGTAGATGGCAAGACTACAATGCCATGCCCAATGTTATAAAAGTCTATCTATTGTCTTTACACATAGATGGCTCTACACATGCTCAGTCATCTAGGAGTCAGCTATTAGCCTTACCTAGCTCACCTGTTTACCCTTTTCCTTGATTTTTTTGATAGCTTCATTTCTATCATTTTACTGTATTTGATATTATAACAATTCAATAATCATAATATCAATAAGAATGATAACAATGTCAATATTAATAGTATTAGAATGAGTAACACATTTTCTCGCCAATTAAGGAAATGGGGAAATCAGGATTGGTCGCCTGGGTCAACTGAAAGATGCCTTGGTGGCTGAGCACACGTAGAGCCATCTGTATGTAAGAAAACTCACAAAATTCTAAAGGGGACAGTACATAAACCTGCTGACATTGGGTTAATCATCAAGCAGTCAATTACTGGTCCTATCTAGGTCACCTGTTCAACTTTTTCCTTAATTTTTGAAAAAATTGATTTCTTTGTGGCTGAGCTCTTTTGAGGCCTTCCTTGTGCGTGTGTGTGGGGGGATCACAAAAGAAAATGACAGTAGAATGATGATCCAGCACCACTGGGTTAATAATGATTATAAGAGATAATTTTTTTTTCCCAATGGTTTCCTGGAATGGAGGGAACAATTAATATCAAGTAAGCCTAATAAATAGCTTATTGGTGACTGAGCAGATGTGCATTTATCTATTTGTAATAAATAATAAAAAAACATAGTATACAGCAAAAGTACCCAGCATCAATGAGGTAAACAACATTTCACTTCACCATCCAAGACTGAAGTGATAAATCATAAAATTTGAAACTCTCATAAATGTACATATATGAGGCAACTGTTGGAATAAGTAAAGAAAGTGACATGTTCTAAAATAAACAATTTCTCTAGAAAAAAAAAAAAAAAAAAATCACATTTCCCAACCTTCAAGAGAAAATACAAAGGAAATTACAGTGAATCAAAAGGAAATATAAGTAGAAGGCTCACCCAGCAAATGGAAGTTTAGAATGGTGATAAAACTTACCTGGTGCAGTGTCTCATCTACAGCCTCCTCCTCCTCCTTGATGTCTTCTCCAGTTGGTAAGTAAGATGCAAACCCATGGGCAGCATCCTTACTTCGGCTATAGAGGTACTGCTCTGTAAGATGGAACAATTTCTTACTAAGGCACCTTCTGTGGGTACAGGATTTTCAATAAATAAAATGCATATAATTTCTAAAATGTATAAAACCTAATCATTATCTTGCATACCATATAAAGTATAAAATAAGTGGTATACAATGATTTAAATAAAAGGAGGTAACTTAGTCTCATTCTCTCATTTTTCATTCTCCTTCACATTAGCTACACAACACCACACTACTTTCTGAAGAGCACACACAAACTGGCAATGGCATAGGTCACACTAATTCCTTTAGAAAGTTCTCACCCATTCCTGGAGACATCCCACATTCACTGTCTTCAACGGAATGGCCCAAGACCTCATCGTAGGAGTCATATTCTGAAAGAGAAGAATGACATTTTTTATATACATTATTGCATTTTATTAAAAGATTTATACATTATTGCATTTCTTTAAAAGATTTATACATAATTGCATTTCTTTAATAGGCTTACACATATATTGCTACATCATTATATAAATCATATATATATATATATATATATATATATATATATATATATATATATATATATATATATATATATATATATATATATATATAAATATATGATGTATATGATATATATGATATATATAATATATACAATATCTATAATATTTATATATACATATAAATCTATACCTATATCTATCTATCTATCTATCTATCTATCTATCTATATAAACATTAACAAATATACATACATAAATATAAACATATATAAAAATATATATATATATACATAAATATATACATAAATATATAAATACATATATAAATATATATAAACATACATAAATACATATGAACATAAACAAATATATATAAACATATATGAATATATATAAGCATACAGATATATATAAACATAATCGTATATAAATATACATAAACACATAAATATATATAAATATATATAAACATATATAAACATATATAATCATCATAATGTTATTAAATTACTAATAATATCAAATACAATAAAGTAATTATTTTATCCAAAAATCATGGAAAAGGCTAAACAATACAGACTAAAATTACACTGGACATTTTGTTGTGCCCTCTGTAGTTACCAAGTTAAATACATATTGAAGACAAAAATGCATTCATAAGGTAATATAACACACACATACTTGCCACGCCTTCCGATTACAGTGTGGACCACACCTTTATTCTCAAGCATGCAGCCAAGGTTCATGAAAATTATCTTTAAATGCCATACTTTCCAGAATGGATACAAGTAACACAGATCTGATAAACATTTATTGTAAAGCCCCATATTTTCCTTCTTTCCTGCATATATATCAAAATACAACCCTTGTTTAAGCTCTTAGTAGATTTCTTGGGGGATCTTACTATTAGGAACATGGATGCATGAATGCCAAAAGACTTCTACGTGACGGCCCTCTCAATGGTGTTGCTGTAAAGTTCAAGTAACTGCTGCTACCACTTTGTTCAAGCAAGAGGAAAGCAAACCTCAATCTACTTTCCATTTTAGCAAAATTATAAATTGAACCTGATCCTTAACTTGCAATAAATTTCCATCCCTAATGACTTTTAATACATTTTATTTGGTAATGAGAATGAAGAACACATAAATCAACATTATTAGAATTAACCAATAATACGCGAGAAAATAAAGATGCGGCCACAATGGTCCATCTAAAACAGACATCTCCTGAAATATGGCAATACAATGGCCTCTGCTCTTTGGCACTCCGGCAAAGGCAAACACACACATTCAGCCAAGGTAAAAAAGAATTCATCAACATCGCTTGGGGTTTCATCATAAAACAAAGAAACAGTCCAAGGTTTACCCAGATGAAAACCTTTTAGGGAGGGTTTCTTATTCCCTGCCAGGTTGTGAAGTGAGAAGGTCTTATTCTAAACAGTTACTCCCTAAGACATGAATGGAAAATATGAGGGAAATCCTTGACAAGCTGGACTGTGTAATGACAAATTCTGCCATCATGATCTTCATAGGAATTTTCGTTCCATATGTGAAACTAAATGTCTTTTTCATTAGAGAAAGTATAAAAAAAAATAATAATAATGACATCTATGACACCACGTTTGCCCACAAGGAACATTGCTTTTTATTTCACTATTGTTATTCCATTCGACTTCCCAAGCGCTCTAACACAATCTAATTAAAGAAGAAAATGAAAGCACACGAATTTATTCAAATCAACGTCAAATGTCACAATAAAGTGGCTTGTTTTCCCCTCCATGGCCTCGCAACACGTTCCCTTTAAACCTGCCAAATATTGTAAGTAATCCGTTATATAAATTCACTTTCCCATTCCAGCAGAACTTGCCTTCTTCAAAATCAAGGTTCCTGTAGTTCCTGTGCCGCGACATCGTGCTTCCGTGTCGTCAAAATAGTAAGAAAAATTCCAACGTTACTGCAAGGACCCCAACACCATGATGGACTCGTCCGATTCTG